AGTCATGCACCCTGTAGTCCTAGCTAATTGAGAGGCTGAGGCTGGAGGATCACCTGAACTCAGGAGGTTGAAGCTACAGTGAGCCGAGATGGCACCACTGTGTTCCAGCCTGGGTGACAGAGCATGACCCTGTTTCTTAAAAAACCAAAGGCCATATATTGTATAATTCCATTTATATGAAAGTCCATAGAGACAGAAAATAGATTAGTGGATGCTTGGACCTGAGTGGGATAGGGCTCAGTGTGTGGGGGAGGTGATAGCTTATAAGTATTGGGTTTCTTTTGTGGGCCATGAAAATGTTCTGAAATCAATTGTGGTATGGTTGTGCAACTCTGTGACTATACAAGAAGCCACTGAATTGTTCACAATAAACAGCTGGATTGTTTGGTATATGAATTGTACCTTAACAAAGCTGTCAAAAATAAATCACCCCGGGGGAAACCAAAAGGAGAAACTCACACCTCAGTGGGGAAGGTGGGACGCCAAGTGTGCGCCAGGAACAACTGGCCTCCTGCCACGGTGGGGAGGGCATGAGTGTCCCCCAGCGAGGGGAAGGGAAGAGGGGAAGGCTTGGGTCCCTAGGCTGCCTCCCAGGAGCGGAGTGACCACGGGCCACCACATGGCCTCTCAGGCCTGTCCCCTCTGTAGCACGGGGACAAACCCTCCTATTTCACTGGGATGCAATGAAGCATCAGACAGACATCTTTAAAGCCCTTTGTAACATGAATTATATAAATAGTGATGATTTAAATAGACCTGGTTTAAAAAAAACTGGTCCCAGATTACACAGGCTGAAACAACTATTTACCACGCCCGTTTCCCACTTGAGAAGATCCAGCTCCATGCATGAGTGGGAACAGTTCCTCATACTTTGCAAACGAGTCACAGGGTCATTTCTGTCTTCATAACCTCTCTGAGAAAGTGGTTTGTGCTCTTCTGACACAGGACGCTGAGGCTCAAGTTCACAGGACCAGCAGTTAGTCAGACCCATTCAGTCCAGGGTTTTACAAGATGCCACTTTTGCTATTTGTTGATATCTGTTACTTACATCAAAAGCAGCTAGTGGCAGGCCAGCCCAGCTTCTAACATAAAGCAGCCTGGATGTGTGCAAACGTTCATGCCACCTCAACTTAGGCACTTCTCTGATCATGGGTCAGGCTTGGGATGTGGAGCTGTCGAGACGGCCCTTGTACCCCTGGAGATTCCATTAGGAACTGAGCTTGCAGACAGAGGTGAGCATTGACAGAGGTGACTTTACCCAGGAGTCATCGGCCTTCTAGTAGAACACCACTCTGATTCCTCTGGGAGGTCACCCTCTCCTAGCACTTCCAGAGGTGTTGACCTCACACTTGCTTCCAGGGTAACCTGACTGCCCTGAGCCATGCAGGGTGCCGCAGGTATTAGCACGATGACTGCCTCGGGCTGCTTTGTGCTGCTGTAACACAATGCCAAAGACTAGGTAATTTACGATGAGCAGAGATGTATTGGTTCATGGTTCTGGAGGCTGGGAGGCCCAAGGTAGAGGGGCCAGCACCTTGCGAGGGCCTTTTGGCTGTGTCATCCCGTAGCACGAGGACTCAGAGAGGGGTAGAGAGCAAAAGGCCAAAGGAGTCCTTTAGTAAGGAGCCCCTCCTACAGTAACAGCATTCACCCAATCAGGAGGGCAGAGCTCCCACGGCCTGATCCCCTCTTCGAGTCCTGCCTCCTACCGTGTTACAATGGCTATTAAATTCCAACACAGGTTTGGGAGGAGAGAAACATTCAAACTGCAGCACTCATCTCTCAGCATGGGTTCCCGTATGCAGCTCACATGCATGAGCCACCAGCAGCTACTGCTGGGATTTCTGGGGGAGATCCAGACCCTGCAGTTCTTTCTGCAGGACTAGAAGCTGAAAGAATGCATTTATCACAGTTCCGATGGAGGAGCTGAGTCGGAGCCACAAGCCCAGATAGCACTGAGTGCTGGGTCCAGCTGTACCTAAAGCCACTACTCTTGTCTTCTTTTTTTGTTTTTACTTTGAAATGGTAGGAGACTTAGAAGATGCAAGTCATAGAGGGTCCCCAGATACACTTCACCCAGCTATCCTCTCACACAGCCACAGCACAATGATCAAAACAAAGAGATTCACATCTGCATAAAACCAACTACAGATTTTCCTCATGTTTCATCCATTTGAGTTTGTGTGATTTTTTTTCATGATGAGTGTGATGTTCCCAGAACTGGCATGTCCTCCTCAGGGAGTGGTGTCAGGAGTGCCTGATGCGGACGTGTCATTACACTGAGGTTCATTTTGATCTGAGGGTGGCGCCTGCCAGGTCTCTCTACTGTGAAATTACCGTTTTCCCCTTGGGGGGTGCATTCAAGCTATGCACATATCCCATTCCTTAAACCTTTGCCTACCAATTTTAGAGTGTGTCAGGGGTCTCGTCCGCAGCAGCAGGTGCTCCAGCTTTGATCTCCCACCTCCCACCTCCCACCCACGTTAGTGGAGATTCTTCATCAAAGCGCCCCTTCTCACCCACTTTGTCACTTGATTTATTTATATTAGTAAAGACTCATGGACTGTTATTTATTCCATGGTAAAAATCCAACACTACTGCTATTTTCTCACTCCAATTGCTCCCTGGGGCCACTGTAAGCTCTTCCAGGCTGGCTCCTGTGTCCTTGGACGCAGCCCCATGCCTTCAGGAGCACATCCTTACATTCTGATGTGAGAGGCTCAAGACTCATCTCACATTTTCCCCGCCTAGCCCTGGAACCAACCACTTCAGGGAGCCTTTTCCTTTCATTGAGTTTACTCTGTTCTTTTATGTCAACTGGGCCAATCAATGTTTAAGCCAGCTGGACTTCCTGTGATCCCACAGCTGTAAGGAACAGGGACAGGGACACTTCTTGGGACGCACAGGGAGCTGAGTGACCTCTACTTGTGTGGACGAGGAAGGGAGTGCTTGCTTGGGAAGACCTGGGTGGTTTTCCTGGTCCTGCCTGCTGTCCCTGCCCTGAGCTGACACCATCAACCAGACACCTTTCAACAAGCACGGTGCGCACGCCACGAGCAACTCAGACAGAGCGGTTGTTTTAGAGGTGCCATGTTGACTTTTTATTGAGGAGCGCAGACTGAGACAAAATCATCTTCCAGTTAGGTGAGGTGTTGAGGATCATACTAAAGAGAAGAGAGGAAAACACCAGTAATGGTGAAGGTCCTGAGAAAAGGGCAGGACCTGCAGACAGTGAGAGATCAGGGAGGCCCCAGACTCCTTTCCTCATTTCCTTTCCAAATGTCCCAAATGTGCAACGCATCACCTGAGACAAGGCGGAAAGCATCGAGCGCTCTGTTCATCTCAATTCAATGACAAGCAGAACTTGTTACTTTTGAGATGGGGCCTCGTTCTGCACCCGGGCTGCAGTGCAGTGGGGGCAGTCACGGCTCACTGCAGCCTCCAACTCTGTCTCAAGCAGCCGTCCTACCTCCGTATCCTGAGTGGCTGGGACAGGCATGTGCCACCACACCTGGCTCATTTTTAAAAGGCTTTTTGTAGAGACAGGGTCCTGCTACACTGCCCAAGTGGAGTGTAGAGGTGCGATCATAGCTCACTGCAGGCTCCAACTCTTGGTCTCAAGCCTCCTGAGTGGCTGAGACTACGGGCATACACCATCATGTCCGGCTAATTTCTTAAACTTTTTGTGGAGACAGTCTTGTTTTGATGCCTAGGCTGGTCTCAGACTCCTGGCCTCAAGTGATCCTCCTGCCTTGGCCTCCCAAAGAGCTGGGATCATAGGTGTGAGCTGTCATGCCCGGCCAACAGCCAGAACTTTCCATGGACCTTGTGCTTTCGGACCTTGGGTATTTTCTGCAGGTCAAGCCATCCCGACCACTCTGAGAACCTACCCAGGGTTACTCAACTGTGACTTCAGGTCACTCATAAACCCATTGGGTAGCTACACCCGTGGACAGCTGGATTCATTTGTGTCTGTTCTCCGAAGTCATGGATAACCTGACAGAAGGGAAAGGAAACAGGGAACATCCACTCCCCTGGGCAAGTCGGAAAAGGGCGAGGTCAGGGCGGGATTCCTTCTCGCTGGAAGTAGCACAAGGAGCCGGACCTACTCCTTCAGCTGGGAGACCTCATACAGGTATGCGGCCAGCATCTTGGTTCCCTCTATGTAGTTACGCCTAGTAGTGAGGAACACAGCATCATGTCAGCTGGTGTCGTGGGCCAACACCCAGGCGTGGGTGATTCCTCCCGAGCCCGGACACAGTCTGCCTTCTTCCTGGGGAGCACCCCCATCCCAGCCTGGGGGCCCTGAGCTCTGCTTGCTTTCAGAATTCAGTCCCTCAGTTCTTAAGTGCAGCTTGAGTCTGACTGCTGAGCCCAGAGACCAGTCCTGGTCCCCTAGTGCCCAGGTAGTAAATGTCAAGCTTGGATCATGGGCTCCTCCCATTGCCCGCTTGTCTCTGAAGACCAGGCCTCCCCACCACTCCCCACAGCCAGGCCTCTGTCTCCCCGTCTCTCCTTCCTGAAGGGTCTTTGCCTCTTAGTCCCTGATCGTCTGCCTTGGTTACCCTAGGACACATCCTTGTCTTCTGCCCTCCTCAGCAATTCTAGGGGTCAGAGGCCCCTCCTAGAACTGCCTGAGACCCCCGCCTGCTGGGCCCCTCCTGCTCTCAGGACCGGCTCAGAGGCTGCGCCCGCTCTGTTGTGGAAGAATCCCCATCACGTCCACCCAAGTCAGGGATGTGTCAAAGCAGTAACGCATACAGTTAGCAATGACACTGCAATTTCTCAAAAAGGAAACAGAAAAATGAACAGAAAAAAAAGGAAGGGGAGAGAGGGTGGATGAAGTACAGAGATAAACAGAGCCCTGCATGAACCCTGTTGATAACACCCCCTCCCGCAAGACCTCATCCCACCTCCCATTTGATGTTCTCACTTCACACAAATGTAGGAGGGCGGGTCACTTCACACCTTCTCGGAGGTGAGGCTGCACACGGTGGGTGGGGGGGCGGCGGCGCACGGGGGCCAGAGGGAAGCTGTGCAGGAGACGCCAACTGGGGCCTCTCCCTGGCCTCTCACCTGTTGAGCTTCTCATTCTGGGAGTGGGCTCCGTCATCAGCCGACCCCACAGGCAGCAGCATGACGTTCTTGCCTGTAGCCTCCTGGAAGGTCAAGGTCACGGGAATACTGCCGCCTTCCCTGGTCAAGTCTGGCTCAACACCAAAAACTGTGGGAAATGAAATAAAATAAATGGTGAGCTTTGGGACCCCAGGGCTGGGGATCTGTCCCAGACCAAGACTCAGTAGCGCTCAGACCCTGGGGGAGGCCCGCCAGGGGCCCAGGCTCATCCCACACATTGGCTGTCCTCCTGCTGACTTAACTGCATGCCCACGTGCCACAGCAGTGCCCGACGCAGCTATGCGCCCACGAGATATAACAGAGTCCCATCAGACACACGAAGGGCTCAACACGCGTCTGCAAGGGGAGTGTCCAACCTGTTTTCAGGGCTCTTCTCCCAGCCATGTAATGAGGGTGACTGAAGTCGGAGACCCACGGCTTCCCACCATGGCCCATGGACACCTTGAACTTGTTGGGGCTGTGGAGTTCGGCAAACTTCTGAGTTAGGTAGCTTGTGACCTAAACCGCAAACAGAATGGAGACATACGATACTTTAGAAGCTCGGCATCTGATCCAAGCCTGTGACCTCCGAGTCTGCTAGCAGGGCGCTACAGCGGCCCGCGTCGGCCTAGGACAGGTCTGCGATGGGCTGTGCTGAGTCTACGATGAGCCTCATTTTCTGTTGCTTAATACTCAGCTACATAACTAAAGAAATGGGATTTCTTATCAAAAAATAAAACCCCGTGATTTCAAGGTAAAAGGCAATGTTTTAATTTCAAGCAATTCACTCTTTCAAAAGATCTTCCAAATGATGATACTATTTAAATTAAGTTGGAAAGCAATGTTCCCTGATCTGCTTTATATTACGGACAGAATGTTTGCATGCCTCCAGAGCCCTAAACTCCATGTGACTCCATTTGGAGACAGGGACTTCACAGAAGTAACTAAGGTGTGAGACAAAGTGACAAACGCGAGAAGCTGTGTGTGCCCCGTTCTGCTTGCCAGCCTCTTCCTGGCAAGCAGACCCTACCCCTACCTGCAGCTTTCGGGAAAGATGCTTTGAAGACAAAGCAGGGGAGGGCACATACTGCCCCCTCTCTTGCCTCGATCGCTGCATTCCTTAGGAGATAAATGACCCTGTCCTTATCTTTTCCCACAGGCAAGATAGTGCCTGACCACCTGACCACGTTAGTGGTCGTGCCTCTGTGACCTGTAACCACACGTGCTCTTACACCGAGCCTCGTGGCTCTGCTGGAATGTAACATCCGAGCAGGCGCGATGTGCTTCTGCGTGCATTCAAGCTCCGCCGCCAGCAGAGGAACTGTGGGCTGAGTCGCTCGCTCTCAGAGCAGCCTGGCTGAGCCTCTCGAAGGCAGCTCCTGGGCCCCGGGCCGCAGTCTGCAGTCCTCAGAGAGATGCCTGAATAAAACTAACTTGAATTCTTGAAAAGCTTGGCTTTTTTTCTTTGGTACTTTTTTTTTTCCTTTTTCTAAACCTTATTTTGACAAAGGTTAAATGAAGCTAGAAGGGCAGGATTCGGCCTGGGTGAGAAGATGCCGAGGGCCTGCCCTCCGCCACGTGAGGACACGCGGGGGCAGTGGCCACAGCCAGACGGAAGCCTCGTCAGATGCCACAGCTATGGCAGCTTGGTCCTGGACTCACCTGCCTCCGAAACAGTAAGGAATCCATTTCTGCCACGTAAGCCACCCCACCTGTGGTCTTTATTGTGGCAGCCTGAGCAGAGTGAGGCGCTTCATAAATGACCACAGGCTATATCACATCCAGACCCGGGATAGGGCCAGGCGCAAACCTGGGGACTCCTCCTCGTGCCCAGACCTCAGTGTTCAGCATGCAGGGCTAGCCCCAGGCTCTTGTTTCCAGCAGGAAGACTCTGACTCCACCTCCCCATGAATCCCAGCTGAGGAGGACAGTCAGAAGCTGGGCTGACCTCCAGCCACCAGTCCCCTCTACACGGCACCATGGTGGGGGTGGCTCCAGGACTTGGACCAGAACATGCTTGGCCCAATGTTCGTGTTTGGTCTGGAGCCTTGGGGTGAGGTCAAAGGCCAGATTTTGGCCTGCCTCGTCAGTAACTTCCATGGGATGCATTATCTCTGATTAGCTTCTGAACTGCGAATGTCATAATTACTGACTTGGCTGGAGCCAGGAAGTCTGGGCACGTGTGGCTGGGTGTTTGCCGAGTAAGAGCCTTGGCTACCCAAGTCTCTGCCCAGACACTTTGGCCCCACCCCGTGTCCCGGCCCCACATGCCTGCTCACTGACGACTTCGGGAGTCATGTTCGGCACGAGCCTGATGGAGAACTTGCCGACCACCTTCCTGGGAATCACGGTCTTGGCCCCCGAACCAGAGAAGGCGCCTTCAATGCCATGGAGGGAGAGAGACGGGTACCGCCATCGGTGCATGAGGATGTCTTTCTGCAGAAAAATCAAGAGGGTCGGGGACACCTCAGGTACTCAGTGCCAGCCCCATCTGCTCACTGAGGAGACGGGAATGTTGTCTGGGAAATCAGCAGCGTGAGGCAGGGCCTGGCCCAGGTCCCTGACACCACAGGCCGGAGGTCCAGACGCAGGGAAGCCCACTGCAGCACACTCTAAAGCTGCAGCGACACAGCACAAAGGAGGCCCCTGACTGGCTGAGCAGCCTCAGGCGAAGCATCTCACTCCCTCTCACTGCAGTGTGGGTGGCTCAGGTCCACCTGGTGGAACTGGGAGAGCCATGCTGGCCACTGAGGACCTGCAGAACTGGAGCTATCAAGGTCCCACAGATATTGGAGCTCCTGGTGAGCCACAGGCACGAGGAGGAAGAGGGGATGCAGGCCGGGCTGTGTGCAGACCTCTCCCAGGCCCACGGGACACAGGTGTGCGGCCCAGTGAATACTGATGATGCATGTGCAGACCTCTCCCAGGCCCATGGGACACAGGTGTGCGGCCCGTGAATACTGATGATGCATGTGCAGACCCCTCC